ATGACTGTAAATTAGGATATCATCAAAGTATACTACAACAAACTTTCCAAGGAAAGGCCTAAGGATCTGAGTCATTACTCTCATAAAAGTACTCGGGGCGTTGCTTAATCCAAAAGGCATTACAGTCAACTCGTATAACCCATCTTTGGTTTTGAACGCCGTCTTCCATTCATCCCCGGGGCGGATTCTAATTTGGTGATAGCCACTCTTAAGATCGATCTTAGAAAATAGCGTGGCTCCGGTCATCATGTCCAACATGTCATCTAACTAGGTGATGGGAAGCAGTACTTGACAGTGATTTTGTTGATAGCACGGCTATCAATGCACATTCTCCATGATCCATCCTTCTTAGGGGTAAGAAGGGCAGGAACCGCACACGGGCTAAGACTCTCCTTAATGAAACCCCGTTTTAGTAATTCATTCACTTGCTTTTTGAGTTCCTCATGTTCAGTAGGGTTCATTCGGTAGTGGGGAAGATTTGGCAAAGAGGCTCCAGGTACTAAGTCAATAGCGTGTTGAATATCCCTTAGAGGTGGTAGTTGGTGGGGCAGATCTTCAGGGAAGATATCAGAAAAAGTTTTCAGAAGTGGTTTAACTTCCTCAGGGATAGGTTCTTCTTGATCAATACTGACTTCCCGGGCTACTAACGCGTACAGAGGGGCTCCTGATTCTATTTCCGTACCTAAGTCTTTAGCTGTTAATAAGTTCAGGCCCGTGTTGGGTTTCAGGGAGTTGGGTTTAACTTCTTCCTTGGTAGTCTTAGGTTGAGTGGATAAGAGTTTAATCTTCTTGCCCTCGTGTTCAAACACACAGGTGTTTGATCGGCCATAAATGTGTACATCGTTGTCGAACAATCAAGGGCGGCCAAGGATTATTTGACCCACGTCCATTGTTAAAACATCGCACCAGATTTTCTCCTTGTATCCAATGAACTCAATAGGAACGAGGCTCCTTTCTTTCACCTCTAAAGTGGTTGAGTTGATCCAGGCGACTTTGTAGGGATTTGGATGGGGTGTGGTCCTTAACTGAAGTTTTGAGATCATAGCAGAAGACATAGCATTAATACAACTTCCACTGTCAATTATGACCTTACAATTCTTGTCTCCTATTTTTGTGAAAGTGTAGAAGATTGAAGTTCTTCGCCAGTCATCGCTAGGTTTAGGTTGGAAAAAGCACACCTAACAACTTGTAGATCCAAGCGGTTCATCTTCTGGAGACAATGAACAACAGCAGTATCCTCTTCGTCGAAAAATTCCTCATCGTCGTCCATATGGTGGACCAAGTCGGTTTCAGGTTCATCCACTTCCTCCGTCACTTCTTCAATTATTGTAACCTTAAACAGGCTGGAGCACTGAGAAGCAATGTGTCCGTACCCATGGCATCTAAAGTACTTAGTGCCGGTAGTGGTTTTGGGTGTCTCCCGTTCAGGTGTTTTTCCTTTGTAGTCTATTCGAGGTTGGGTTTGATTAGGAGAAGGTCGACTACTAGAGGGTCCAGTGGGCTTGTTGTAGGGTTGGCTAGAGGAAGGCTTGAAAGGATTGGGTCTAGAGTCTTGAGTCCTAGTGTGTGGCTCCTAGACTCTTCCAAATCTAGTACAAGACTACATGCAGCTTCATATGTAGTCACGCCTCTAGCAAAGAGTTCATTTCTAAGATCTTTCCTCAATCCAGCTCTGAACATTGACAGGAGCTGTGTAGGAGTGGTGGTCTCTTCCCCGTTACAGCGAATCAAGAAGTCATCAAAGGTTGAGATATATTCCTTAACAGTCTTACTTCCTTGAGTTAACATATTCCAACGATCTAGCAATCTAGGGTAGTATGAGGGAGGGAGATATTTTCTCTTCAATTCTTGTTTCATGATCCCCCAGTCAGTGATAGGGTATTCTCCTCGAGTCTCCCTCATGTGTTCTATGTTCGTCTAGTACTGGTTGGCTCTACCAGTCAACTTCATCTCAGCAAATCTGACTTTCTTCTCTTCAGAAATGTTATACCATTTGAAGTAACTGTCCATCCCTTTAATCCAATCAAGGAAAACTTGGGGTTCTAACGTTCCGTCAAAAGTCGGGGCATCTATCTTAATGCTCTTAAAGAGTTGGGTATCGTTGTCCCTCCAAGGTGCTTCACGTCCTACCAGTTCTGGGTGGGGCCGGTGGTTGGGTCGGTAGTAGTCCCTAGGAGGTCCGTATTCAGTTCGGGTATCTTCGCCATATGGTGAGTGAGGTCTAGAAGGTGTGTAGATAGCCGGGTGTCCCGTTATTTCAATATTGTCTAGTCTTTCTCCCGTATGACGTCTAAGTTCAGCTACACTCGTTTGGGTATCCTTCATTTGTTGTGTAAGTGTTCCTAATTGGCCCATAATCATGTCTAAAGTGGTTTGCATATGGGTAGGATCCATGGTGGGTTGTTAGGGAACACTAAGGAGGGTTTCTAAGTCCAGGACAGCAGCTAAACACACAGGTTTGCTCACTAAAAGGATACCAACAGCAGTGGGAAAAACTGGACAGCCAACTAATAAAAAAGACCGTCGCTTTCTAAGCACCTTAGGTAGGCTCTGGAGTGGAGACAGCACAAAAACAGCACCTACGGACTCTCCTAACTGAAGTTCACAGTTGCTGGAAGTGAGGGGACAGCAGTTCCAAACACAAATCCAAAAGTCCTAAGTAGATAGAAACACTACGGACTCAAAGGCAGCAGCTAGACACTGGCTAAGACGACCTAAATGCCAAAGAACATGTGCAGGAATTGCGAAAACAGCAGGGAAACAGTGAAGAAAACTTAACGACGCAATGATATGCATGCAAAATCTTAATGGCAAGCTAAAAGGAGATTCCTAGGATGCATCTAGCATGAGCAAAGCATGCTAGCATTGCTCTGATACCAAAATGATGTGAGACCACGGAGGAATTGCGTGCGGAAATTAAAACAAGAATTAATTAAAACTTGCCGATACAAATTTATTACCAACAAAATAGAGGAATAAATTATTCTAGGTAATTAACTCGCTTAGGCGAAGAGTTTCTTTGAGATAACCCAACAATTCATAATAATCCAAAAATAAAAGATATACTTAATTGCTCATAACAATAATCCCACAATTAATAAGGAAGAATTTCACCTTGAGCAACCTCTCACTCGTTCACTCTTGGGCTTTAGCGGAGATGAAAGAGCCACGCGAAGATGGAGAGCACTACTACGGAAAAAGAGACGAAAGACTTCGTTACCGGAGAGGTGGTAGCCGGAGAAGGTGATGGTGGATGGCGTCCGATGATTGTCCAAGTGGAATCACGAAACTGTCGGTCGAAGATACTTGCGAGAATCGGGACGACTCACTCCAAGTACTCTTCGATTGTGGCGTCGTCTTCAAATCCTACGTCAAAGCAAGGAGAACGTGGGATATCAATGCTCCCGTCGGCGTGGAAGACTAATCCCCACTCAAGCTCCGAATCCGCCATTCAACATTGAGGCAAGGCGGGAAGAAAACAAGGAAGGAGGGTTGGGCCGAGAGCTAGGGAGGGACAAGGAGAAAATCTGAAATTTGAATTTCAGATTTTTTTTAGGCTTGGAGGGAGAAGTTATTTTATCATTAAACTCTCCCTCAATCAAAATAAAAAGGGGGCAGCCATTAGGGAGAGAAATTAAGGGGGTAATTAATAGACGCTTAGGTGGCAAAGAGAGAGAAACCGCTAGGTGTTGGGGCCGGCCAAGCAAAGGAAGAAAGAGGGAAAATTTTCTTAAGTAGTGGGCCCCATTAATTAATTAAATCCAGATTTTAATATTCAGGAATTTAATCAATTAAGGAGATTGAAATTGGAATTCAAATAGGATGAGATTTCAATTAGATCTATTCCTAAATGTAGGGAGTTACATTAAGAAAGAAATAATGATAGACTTGATGGCAGGAATTTCAAAATCCAAGGTGAATTGGGCGGCGGGATCTTCCCAGGGGAGTGACGGGATGGGCTAGGGGGTTCGGTGGCCTGGTTGGAGCCGGCGGCTAGCACAGCCGGTGGCAAGGGGCTGGTGAGGGAGGTCGGGCAGAACAGGGAGAGGGAATTTCGGGATTTGGCTGCAGGGAAAGAGGCGGATGTGTGGAGGAATTGGTGGGGAAGGAAGAAACAGTGAACTCACAAGTAAAACCAAGAGCTCGCCGGGGCGGGCTGTTGGGTATTTCGGGTGGAGCCTCTCCTAAGTCTCCTCTCTCTTATCTCTCAAGCTCTCAAGCAAGAAGACGAAAGAAAATTTCAGAAAATTTTAGTAATAAAACATTAGCTCATACAATAAGAGGAGACCCCTTTATAAAGGTCTCAAAGCATGAAAAAAAAGACTCACATGCTCCTTGGGCTACAACAAACACTACGCCTTTATAAGGGCGAAAAAGTCACTAGTGCATAAAATAAAAGATACATGAAATAAAATTACATAAAAATGACATGACAACATTAAAAATATAAACTTCTGATCGTAGCCGTCGATCTACGATTCCTTCGCCGATAAACCTGCCTAAAATGTCTGTCGATGACCTCATCATATAGCCACTCATCCACCTATGCATCCTCATCTCTACAACACTTAACTTAGTATTATGCTTCTCTTTTAATGGCCAACATTCGGCACCATAAAGCATTGCAGGTCTCACCACCATCTTATATAATTTTCCTTTATGTTTGAGGGGGATTTTTCTATCGCACAACAAGCCTGATGCATTCCTCCACTTCAACCATCCAATTTGAATTCTGTTGATAATATTCCCATCTATTTCACCATCACTCTGAACAATAGACGGATTTTATCTCTGGAGGTTTAACAGTTCAGAGCAGTAGCAAAATGTCTCAGTGGCAGACCTTTGGATAGTTGCAAGTCCTGCTCCTGCAAGGAACACCAAGAATATTGCAAAGTATGCTTCTCAGGCGCACACCAAAGACTATAGGAAGAGGACAACCATTTTACCCAAAGTACAATGCTAGATAATAGATGCTTTAGGAAATGCCAACATTATTCAAGTTGTGAATGCCATCCATACCATAGCTTGTAACTGGCAACGTGACACAAAAGGTCAAAATTCCACATTCTGTTTGGAAGAATTTGTCTCACAACCTTAACATTAATATTACCCATAAAACAGCATTCCAACAGGCATCAGGAGGTATTTGGGATGGAAAATTTCTGCATTGGAGGTGTAGCAGTATACATTTTACATCAATGGATACGATGGCTAATGGCTATTTGAAAGGAGAAATTGGAGCAACCAAAGCTTCCATTTTTATGACAAGTTCTGAACCGAAGGAGGATCTATCACATGATAAACCCATCTTCCTTATGGATTATGGAGGTTGATATAAATATAGGATTACGAAGACAGCTTGAAATACAAATGACTCTTCTACCAATAATCTCTGCAGGAACAAAACCCATCGCTGAAACAATGGAACCGATTTCGATCACGCACTATAATCTCTCGTTTGGCTATCTCTGATATCAATTTCAGAGCTGCATGGCAGTCGTTGCACACCCTAAGGTTTTTCATAATTCTAATCACTTTCCCAGGTGGTGTACTCATCAACCCAAATACAACAGCCAGTTTTTCGCTATGTCGGTACAAGACAGACTCCTTCTCGCTTTCTTCCATGTCAAGTAGCACCACTGAAGTATCTGGAACATAACCTCTAACTCTTAATTCCACCAACAAGTCATCCCATTTCCTGTATATCTCTAGAATCTGAGCATGATCACTCTCCCCAGCAACAAACTCATGGATCACACCATCCACTGCTACTGTGCTCCACCCTGGGGTCTTCTTCACTCCTTTATTCCTCATCAAGCGACGAACTTTAGCTGCATCATCGAATCTTCCAGCATCAGCATAAATGTTTGATAAAACGACGTAATAACCATCATTTGAAGGGTCCAGATCAGTAAGTTGCCGAATAGCTTCCTCGCCCATGTCAACCCTCTTGTAAACTCTAGCCCCACCAAGCAAAGCCCCCCAAACAACACCATTGGGCTTGATTTGCATTTTCCTTATGAAGTCCAGGGCTTCATCAAGCAGGCCAGCTCGACTCAAAAGGTCCACCATGCAACCATAATGCTCGATCTCTGGGACAATGTTGTAATCACAAATCATGCTTTGGAAGAATTTCCGACCTTGTTCCAACAAACCCATATGGCTGCAAGCATGGAGTAATCCAACAAATGTTACTGGGTTGGGTCGAATACCGGCCTTCCTCATCTCCGCAAATAGCTCCAGAGCATCATCTCCTTGTCCATGAATTGCATACCCATGAATCATAGCAGACCACGATACCACGGTCCTCTCTGCCATTTCATCAAACACTTTTCGTGCAATTTGCACGCAACCACACTTGATGTACATATCAATCAGAGTATTACAAACTCTAACATTTTTTAAAAACCCAAACCGGTTTCCATACTGATGAACTCTCTTCCCCAAATCAAGCGCCCCAAGATCAGCACAAGCCGCGAGTACAGCCACCACAGTAACCTCATTAGGCCTCACACCAACCTCCTCCATTTCAACAAACAGCCGCACCGCCTCCCTCGGATTCTTCCACTGCACATACCCAGCAATCAGAGAAGTCCATGACCTAACACTACGCTCAGGCATATCATCAAACATCTCACGTGCAAGTTCCATCTCCCCATCCTTCGTCAAGCGGGCAATCATTATGTTATAACTCACTGCATCTCTCTTCGGCATTTTCTCAAACATGAGACGTGCGTCCGCCATTGCGCCAAAAGAAGAGTACATGTGAACCAAAGTGTTGTGTAAGAAAACGTCGGGATCGAAACCCAACTTCAAGATCAAGGCATGGATGGTTTTGCCGGTGAGAAGGCAATGAGATAACTGGGTGCAAGCTTTGAGGGCAAAGGAGCAGGAGAAGGTGTTGGGGAGGAGATTCGAGGAGAGCAGACGATTAAAGAGGAGGAGCGCGTCCGAAGGGGAAGAGGAGGAGAGGGTATTAAGGTGGGAGTTCCAGAGGAAGATCTCCGGCGAGTCGGCGGAGCGGTGGAAGAGGTGGCGAGCGTAAGAGAAGGCGGAGGGGGAGGAGAGGGCGCAGACGGAGGCGATTTGGGGGAAGGAGAGGGAGGAGATGGGAGCGCCGGATTTGATGAGGAGGGAGTGGAGTTGTTGGAGGTGGGAGGGGGAGGAAAAGGCTATATTTGAATTTGGCTGGGAAAGGGAAGAGTCTTGGCTGCAAAGGGGAGAGGAAAGGGGAGCGAGGCAGGAAGAAGCCATTTGATGAAGCTGGCTCCCCCTTCGAATATGTTGCACACCACGGAGTGTTACAGTCTCATTGGGGTAAACGGTATAGAAATTTGGATATTCTATAAATATTTGTATAATTTTTTAGTTATGCATCTAAAGATATATATGAGGCAGCTCATTTTTTTTATCTTGGATTTAAAGTTTATATATGTAATGTGGATGAATTTATTTTACTGATTTAAATGTTTTAAAAATATTTATATTCAATAATTTAATATTAATAATATTTTAAATTATTTTAAATTATAATTTGCGTGTAAAATACCTCTTAATGTTATTGCTGAAATTATTGAAGGCGTTTCTTAGAGAAAAGTTGATACATAATATCATGAATTTAGTTTCTAAGCAGTAGATTTATTTTAAAATAAATAAAATATGCAAATTAATTATAGTTCATTTATACTTATATGGAAGCGTGGTAATTTTTGTATACCACTTATGTGGAGATCTTTTTACCAAACAAATTTCCCATTTTTTAATTTTCAAAAATTGGAAGCTTTAATATTTGCTAAATCGCTTCCATTTTTCAAATTCGATGCACATAGCTGAAAACCCAAAAAAGGGGTCAATGTAAAATTATTCTGCGTGGATACGGACGCCGTTCGAAGGTGATCAGAACGCATCAGGTCTTTTTTTTTGCTATGTACCAAATGACATGGAGCATTATAATTTACCTCCGAACTGTCTGATGTCCACGCAGAATAATTTCTCAAAATTCATAATATGATATTGCTCTAGTTGCACACACACATTTATTATCATCTACTAGTGCCTTGACAACAACAACAATATCAAATATTTATCCACTACGTAGGGTCAACTACATACTTTTTTTCCTCCAATGTATTCAATCATGGATTAACTATTCTATGCGAGCACCAAACATCACCCCGAGGCCAACCAAAATGCCCCACATCACCGTTGACTCAATACCGCTTGCACCCAATCTCCGCACGTAATAATTAGAAATGATTATTTCTTATTAGACTTAAATGATAATTTGATTATTAATAGGATAAGATTGTGAAAAAAATAAAAATAAATTTAATCAATCCAGCATTGTCAAAATAAAGACTGATATTATTATTATTATTGCTCTATAAACCCAATTTAAACAAAGTAATTGTCACGACCTAACCAGCTTCCATTATTTCACATGATTATCATATAGTGAAAATCTCCTAGCTTTCTAAAGCACTAAAAGGCCTATCAACATTCTCAAATTTATTTCCAATCAATGCATTATGAATTCAAATGCCATAAAATATTATTTTACTGAATGAAATTTTAAATGGCCTTAAAAAATAATTTTACATTGCATAAAATATTAGATAAAAACATCAGATCTGTTACTGTAATTGAACTATGGCTAGATTTTTTCTGCCGCTATAAAAAAAACCAACTAGTTTTTAAGGAGAGATTATTAGGTGCGGAGTGCGGATGGGGAGAACCGTCCGCACAAGTATTGGGTACCGCTAAATAACTAGTGCTTGTGTGGACGGTGCACGCTCCGCACCTAATAATTTTTCGTTTTTAAGGGCTGCAGGTCCATGGCGACGCTCCTTTTTGTAGCGGAACTGTTTTGGATCAAATCCACCTTCCTCTGCACCATAGACAGCCCAAGATGGTGTGACAGCCATGTAGTCTTCAGTTCCAAAGGGCTTTCCTGAAGCCACCTACATCCCATTAAAAAAAATCAGTTTATGATTAAGATTTTGGCTTCATGGGACGGCTTCCTTACAGCTTCTCAAAGCAGCTTTTTGATGAAAAATTAAAATTTTTGTTCTAGAAAGCTGCTCAGCAAGAAATCTGTCCCAAACGAAACCTTCATTTGGGACAATTTTCTTGCTGCTTTTTAAAATAGTTTTTTAATGATAATTTTTTATACTAAAAAAACAGTTTTAGAAAGAAGTAAGAAAACTATTCTAAAAGAAACCTAAAGTTGACTAAGACATGAAGGCTTTGTTTGGGACGACTTTCTTACTGCTTCTTAAAGCAATTAAGAATCAGCAAGAAAGCTGTCCCAAATAAAAACCTTTGTTTGGGACAATTTTCTTGCTGCTTTTTAAAACAGTTTTTTAATGATAATTTTTAATACTAAAGAAAGAAGTAAGAAAGTTATTCTAAAAGAAACCTAAAGTTTACTAAGACATGAAGGCTTCGTTTGGGACAACTTTCTTACTGCTTCTTAAAGCAGCTTTCTAGTTTAAAAATTAAAATTTTTGTACTAAAATGCTGCTTTATGAAGCGGTAAGAAAGTTGTCCCAAACAAAACCTAGATTATGCTTAACAATTCTTCATCACATCAAATTTATCAGCCTTTGACTCTACTTCAAAACTATTTACAACATCCTTCACAAAATATGTTATCATCTTCCATCTTATTTTGCATTAAACTTAGTAACAAATTTTTTTTAACATAATATATAATTTAAGAGATTTATTATAAATTTACATAGCCCCACCTCTTAATTCCACCACTGCTTTCAAGCCTTAAAAGCTGATCTCACTACACATCTAAACGATTGTGAGTTTCAAAAACAAAATTTGCTTTCTAGGAAACAAATGCTTACACTAAAAATTTCACAAATGAGCTCCAAATCACTTACTAGTTTTAATGAAAAAGAACTGGAAAGAGCAGCAGAGTAAAGGCTTACTAGATCATGAAACCTTTCATAGTCTATCCAAGTGTGCCACTGGCCATTGATTTTGAACTTGTCAACTTTTGCCAGAAGAACACAGCAAGAATGGACATGCTCACAAGCTACTTCATACAGGCCATTGCTTTTGATGGCCAAAGTTTCAGAGAACTCTTTAACATCAGAATGCCAGGGAACATTCTCCATTGTCAACTTTGATGTGGCAGTTCTGTAAAAGAAACAATGGTGAAACCTTTCATAACAGGGCCATGGCTAACAAGAATGGCCTAAAGGAAAGAAAATAAGAAACTTACGAGCCACAGTACGTGACACCCTTGATCTCAATGAAATCTGGTTCTCCAAGGCCTAGCAAGTTAGCATATGCGTCTACTTCTTCTGCATTCCATCCTTTAACAAGAGTTAGACGGTAAACCGTCCTCTGTTGTTTGTCATGCAAAGCTTTCAGAGAATCCTGTCAAAATAGATAAATGATTAAGAAAAAGCAATAGTAGGAGAGAAGATGAGAATGCCTTTCTAGGATAAATGATTAAGAAATGAGAATGAATGTGTATCCAAATTTGTACAACAACAACAAAAAGAAACATCAAGCCTTTGTCCCACTACATGGGGTCGGCTACAAAAATCCTTTTTCGCCATTGCGTCCTGTCAAAAGTCAATTTCTTATTTAAATATAATAAAGAAAGATCATTTCTAATATTTTCTAACCAAGTCTTTTTTAGGTTTACCTATACCTTTCTTAACATAAGTCAAACCTAATACCTCAACTTTCCTAACAGGGTCATCGGAAGGCCTCCGTTTGTGTATCCAAATTTGTAGATGAAAGAAAATCTATGACACCCTAAGGTACATTATCAATTTCTGGGACAAATGTCAGATTATCATTTGAAACTAAACATCCATAATGTAGATTTATTTTTGGAAAAAAATAATCAACACGCACTTGACAACCAATATAACGGACTCTTAAGAATAAAACTCACAACAAAGCGCTCCCAAAAGTCTCCAAAAAGTGGTCTATCAACTGCCTTCAAGCTCTCCTTTGTTGCTGCATCAACACTCACATATAACTGCGAATGTTTCAAATATGTAAATTCGTTAGTTATCTGGGCATAATAGAATGCATTGCATCTATTTGGCTGTACAAACCTGGGTAATAGGTTTTAACATCTTTATTCTGTCTGGAAATTGGGCATTTGTAACAAGAAAAGTAGAAATGTGCCTGCGGTGCAGTTCCTCGATTAGTCTATTTATCTCCGGATACATGATTGGTTCACCGACAAGAGACAAAGCACAGTGTCGGGGAGATAGACCTTCAAGAAACTGCTGTTCCTTCACCCCTGTAGTAAACAGAAAAGAAAGGTATGAACATGGAGAAAATGCTTGTTAAGGTTATCGCTAGATGATTGCTAACCAGATTTTTTTCTTCCAGTATATGTTTTAAAAAATAGTCAGGTATTGATAACAATTGGTGGAGGATTTTTTTTTTTAAGTTCTATCAAAATTGATCATGGCTACTCAGGGAAGTCGCAAATCTTGACAGAAAAACGATTTCATTTAAAAAATTGTCTACAGCTCAAATAAGGGTGTGACAGGTTGATTATAGAAAGTCTGAAAACTACCATATAAGTAACAAATCTCTCTTACCAAAAGCATTAGGGCATCTCCAACCGAAAATCTCATTTTTCATTCAAAAATGCCGTGAAACTAAAAAATGCCGTGATTCATCTCCAATCGAACTCCATTTTGTCCCGTAACGGTCGTTCTCTTCTTTCGTGCGTTTCTTCGGCAAGTTCGATAGAGACAAAAAAATGGCGAAGATAAACAGTACAACGTCAATATTGACGTCGCACTGTTCATCCGCGATGAAATGACGTAAGAATTGCCGCTCGGTTGGAGCGACGGAAGAATGGCAAACAGTTGTTTGCCGTTCCATTGGAGATGCTCTTAGTCGATCTCCAAGTATCAATTATTAAATGAAAATATACATGAATTCATTTAACCTTGCTTGCGTTAGGATGTATAATGACCACGCCATCATACAGGAGAATTTTGCATACTACTCTGAGAGTGGAAGAATCATAAAATACAAACACACCTGGGACACCCTTCATTTGCTTTATCATTTTAGTATGCTGGTCGATGGCAGCATCCACAATAACAAGAGGATCATCCATCTTCCACCGCCATTCTTTTCCCACAGGATTAGTATGATGCCTCCAACAAAAAACACACTTATTTGCACATGCTAAGCTTGGGGTTGCTTCCATGCACCTTGAGAAGACAGAAAGAAAAAAATAATGAAAGCGGGAAGAATACTTCAACCAAACATACAACTCATAGCTAGAATCCTATATTATAATCTCTATTACAGGTTCCTAGAGCTATGACTGCGGTGGATACAAAAATAAAAAAAAATAAAAAAAAATCACTAAGGAATGAAAAAAGTACAAAATCAAAACCAATGTGCCTTTGTCACAGAACAAAACAACAATATAGTGACACAGAAGGTAAAAACATGTTAGAGAAATATTTGGAAAATTCAACAGCAATAAACATTAGATGGTGCTCCAATCAACAGCATTGTTATCAAGTTATGCAATCATTACCTATGACTCTCAATCCCATAAAATGAGTGCTTGTAGCAGCCCCCACGTCCTCGGAGTTGTGCCTTTGTCCATCTACAAATTTTAACACCACTATGTGAACCAATAATCTTGTATCCCTGCATTGATGAAGAGGTGCAAGTCACAAAAATGTTGGCCTCTTCAATGAGAACTCATGTAACGAGACTCTAAACAAAAATAAATAATAGGCGGAATATGAAAAAATTTATACAAAAACAAATAACGACTAGAAAAATCAACAAGATTTGCTAAACTAGAAATATGTGACAAGTAACTTTCCAACAATCAAATGCATTCATTACTTGCTAAATCAAGCATGAAAAACAATGAGTACATATCTAGTTTCAGATCAAATACTGGTAAGTTTAATCAAAGAAAAGTCCCTAAGTTGATGTTCCTGAAATCCACATTGTGATAGACGTATTATGATTTCTCAGTTACATTGATAGGATTACTTTGATTGCTAAGCCTTTCATGATGATGATGGTGACCTTTCAGTGAGAATAATGGATAGAAAATGCTATAGATCTTTGGTTTAATATTTAAGAAAGTGCTTTGGAGTTTGCGGTGGAATAGTGAGAAATTTGGAGGCGTATAATGGTGGGAATGCCAAGGCTAATTTAAATTGGGCTAGTTTAAGCTGATTTTAAAGATTACATAGAGGATTTTACAAATGGCTGAAAATGCTTGGAAAGAATGAGCTTAGGATGTGGACTAATAATTTAGAGTAGATGTTAAAATAAAATTTGGTGGAGTTTAAATAGGTGTCGAGGAGTAGAAACAAAACTAGGTTCTAGTCTTGCTTTGTTTGTCTTGAGCTACTAGCGAGGTTTCATGTGATTGCATGGTTTGAGTTGTGTAGTGGTTGGTCTTGTAAGAGGCTTAGGATGTGGGAGAAGATGTTATGATGATTTAGCGCACTTGTTTGAAAAAAAAAGGCAACTAATCATAAAATAAAAAAGATAATTATACAATCTCATTAAAAAAAAGAAATATTAAAACCACCGAAACACAAGCAAACAAGAAGATATATTATTCAGCCAAATGATTTCATTCAATATTAGAAATTTTATGACATAACAACTTCTATTTACCAGCAATAAAAGAAACCTTAAGTTTTCATCTTTTATAAGGGAGGGATGGAATGGACACTTAATAAAAGAGGAGAGTTCTAATATTTTCATTAAAACATTTCATTTTTCATGCTCCTTCATTAAGGTAGCCAATCTTACATGGTTTCAATGGCATTTGAAAATATAAAAAATAAAAATTAAATTAAATTTATAAAATTCCAATATTGGTCCTTAACATAAAATATAAAAAATAAAAATCAATTTTGAAAATATAAAAAATAAAAATCAATTAAACTCTCGGGTAAGGGTCAGTCAAAGATTGCTTGAATTTTTGAAAGAGGTCAGGTTTAATTACAACATTAAAAATAATGAATACCATAAAAATCACTTGAATTTGTAAAAAGAAATACTTATTTAGATTGTTGTGTAGCTTTTCTTTTTCCTAAGGGTTTCAAATACTTGTCTAAGGTGTTGCAGATGGTTTGCTTCACTTACGCTAAAAATCAAGATGTCATCATGATAAACAACCAAGATATTTTCTATGAGGTATTTTAAATAGGTGCGTATTTACCTCACAAATGTGTTAGAAACATTCAAAAGTTCAGATGGTATCACCAATCATTTATAGTCGATCAAGGAGTCTTAAAAGCAGTTTTCAATTAATCTCTCAATCAAATTTTAATTTAGTGATAAATACTTCTTAAATCAATTTTAAAAAAATTAGCCCTGAGACCGAATCCAACATGCTTCCAATCGTGGTATATTAAATCTATATTTGATAGTGACTTTATTGATGGTCTGACCATAAATATATGTCCTCCATATGCCATCTTTATTTAAAGGTTAACAAGCTTGGAATTGTACAAGGACTAAGATTTTCTTGTACTAAACCTTTCCTAAGCTCAGTACGCTTAGTGAGACTCATCCTATAATGTAAAAGGTTGGGAAGCTGTGAACTTGGAGTTAAGTCGATGATATTTTGAATAGACTCAAGCGGAGTAATCTATCAGGAAGATCATTAGGTACAACATTATTAAATTCAAAAATGAGAGGAGAGGCCAGAACAAGTATGAGAATCTCATCATAATTAAGTGTTACTTCTTTTTCATGCAAAAGTGTAGGAAGGACAGTCAAGAAAATTCTCTACTCTTAGTTTCAAATATAATAATTTCTACCGTTGAAGTTATTAAAAAAAGTGAAAAAAAAAAGATGTTGGAATTATAATTAGAAATAAAAAAGGTAATCCATAGAATTTTCTGTGACAACCAATTGAAGCTTAGAGCCTTTTTTTAGATTGGTTTGAGTTGCAGATAAGGGTTAGTTTAACATGAATGTATTTAATAATCTTATTAAAATATTTAGAAATATAAGTATTTTTTCTATCATAGCGGGCTAAATTTTGGTCATACAATCAGGATCTACTTAATAAAATGTGATCAATGTTCATGGGAAGGACATCATACCAAGTTTTTATTTTCATAACTACCAATTTTTATGCGAATGAGACACCTACTTATGATAAATAGAAATGTATAGTCTATGATGCACCGACATTTCCCTCAATGAGGAGTGCAGTGTCCGACACGTATCCGACACGACACTCGTTCAACACTCCTCCGACATGTGTCAAACACACCGAAAACGTGTCTGATTAAAAAAATATTAAATAAAAATTGGACGCGCGTGTCCGACACACGTATCTTAAATATTTTATGAATTTTTTAAAAATATAATTTCTTGTATTTGGGGGGATGTTGGATTTAAACTAAATTTCTTGTTTCATATCCACAAAACCAAATCAACGCTTCACTTAATACCCATTCATCAAATATTCTCATTTTTTTTCTCTTTGGCAATGAAGGTATTTTCATATCTTCTCTTGGTGACTGATAAACGACATTAATGCCTAACTCTCGACATCCTAATGCTAATAATTTTAGGCACAAACTCTAGTTAAATGACTTATTATTTTCAAATTATTTTTAAAATTATACTTATTTAATTTTTATACACTATTTTTTAAATATAAAAATTATAATGTCGTGTCCAACCCGTGCCCGTGTCCTAAATTTTCAATAATTGACGTGTACCATGTCCGTGTTGTGTCCGTGTCGCCGTGTTCGTGTCTGTGCATCGTAGTGTATAGTTGATACAAATAGCAAGAAAAAGTCCAAGGTGTGGTTTATTCTTAAAATTGTCTATGGAGATTGCGTCAGTTGAGATTTCATTTATTGTACTTCCTTTATCTATGACTAGCCTACACATTTTCCAATTACACATAATATAAATACTAAAAATATTCTTCTTTATCCAATCCCCTATTTCATTTTTTGTTACAATCATATATCGTATAATAATTATTTGATGGTCATCTATGAACTCTAACTCCTCATTATAAAAAGGTTTATCATCATAAACTTATTTTAGGTCATCATCTATAGAAGTCTTAATTTCTTTTAAGAAAGGATTTGAGCTTTATATTGATTTTACATATGCCCCTTTTGTGACATTTGAAATAGATGATTTTCTTAAATATTTTAGAACTCTCATCAATAGATGCTTTGGGAAAATGGGCTAGGCTAGTAGGTGGAGTGGGTTTAACAATAGGCCTATGGAATAATAGAGGGGATTTGTCCTTTCTATCTTAAAAGAGAAGCAATATTTTTTTGTTTTTCACCAACAAAGCATAACGATAGGTTTCTTTTAGGGCTTGGGGATCAAATAAATCTACTTTTGCATCCATTATAAATCCAATCATAAATTTGTTGGCTAGTTGCTAATCATTATCAACATAATCGATCTTAGTAATTAGGACATAAAAAGTGTTCAAATACTCAATTACAAGGAGGTTATTTTGCCTTAGTGTCAATAACTGTCCATGCAATTTCTTATCATGGTGCCTAGGAAAGTACTTGATAATTAATATCTTCTTCTGTCAATGTAGGAAAGAGTGATCCTTTCTAACCTCTATTCTTTGGCTAAAGTATTAGTTCAATAGGTCTTGACATGTCCAATCAATTTCATTTTGGCAAAGAAAACTCTCTACTAGTAATCCATTCTATACTAGTCAAAAAAATCATCCATCTAGACTAACCAATCTAAGAACCAATTGGGGTCATGAGTGTTATCATAGGTGGGAGCTTCAACTTTAACTCTCCTGAAGTAATCATTAAAGTCAGTAATAATCCTATTAGGATTGTCTCTTCTACCTCCATTCTTTGGATGGTTTTAATGACAATTTAACATGTACAAAAATAAAAATAAAATTACATTTAAATAATCCCAACATTAGGCCTTTAGCAGGGCTTAAAAATGGGCTCTTGTTCATGCAGTTTTGCAAGCTTAGACCTTTGCTCTAGACTCTTGTAATAGATCCAGTTGGCTGATTTGAATTATCCACTTGATGTGCCACATCATTTAACCATGCCAAGTTTAATCTAGCTTGGATCACCATAATTCATACGAAAGAATCTTGTGAAAGATTTTCTATTTACCAAATCAAAAGTCTTCTGAATTGTGTTAAAAATGACCAACAAAGACTTGGATACTGAGTTTTCCTTGGCTATATATGCTTTATTGATCATGCCCAGAACTGACTTTTTATTCAACCTCAACAATAAGTGAAGCTAATTAATAGTTTAATACCATGACTGCGTGTAGAATAAGAATGATAATCAGAGTAGCCATTTCCTGATCAACATTAATTTGGATTAAAGGGTTGTAATAGTATTGATTAAAATATTGCCATTAATCTGCCTAATGAAACTTAGGCCAAAAAAATTTCTAGGATTTTCTAACTACATAGCTGTTCTTTTTAGTGGAGTGCTTGTTCCTTACTCCATTCTTTCTAGACATCCAATTTATTGTCTATCCTTCCTTTTTCAAATGGTTTGTTGAGTGGAGTGCTTGTTCCTTCATTCTTTCTAGACATCCAATTTATTGTCTCTCCTTTCTTTTTCAAAGGGTCGACCAAAAAAATTGATTAGGAAAAGGTCATTGGTGTAGTACTGATTCTAACCACAAGTACCATATGATTAGTTCGAAAAAAAAAAAAGTTGAGCAATAGCTAGAATGGAGGTGGTCTAGAAGTTTTCAATCTTGAATACATGAAGAAAGCCCTATTGGATAATTGTTGGTTGAAACTTGATAACACTAAAGAAGATCTTTGAGATAAAACTTGCAGTAAGTATATTAAAAGGAGAAGGGTTTGCCTGCAATAGAAAGAGGCAGCATGTATTCCATGCTTGAACTTGCAATTAAACAATTGCCTGCTTTATGCTTCCTATTCCAACAAAAGTTAGGAGCCTTAATCAGGAGCTATACCCATGTAAATTTTTCAGAGTGCCATTTGTCAGATCTTTATTGCTTTTCCTCATTTCTATTTTTTTTTTTCTCAAACATTTCATGATTGTCATTTATAAGTCAGAAACTCAAACCTCCAGAATCCCGAAAAGAATAAAAAATTTTCTGCAGTAAAAAGTATTGCTTAAATATGACCAACTGTTTGATAACTATAGCGAACATGCAATCAGTGTTCCTTATTATAAGTTAAACATGCCGGGGAAAAAGAATGTCTGATGGTGCCAGAAAGCCTTGGTATTTTGGACATATTACTTTGAAGAAAGGTCAGAAAATATCTATGTTGTTTAAGTAATATTATCAATCCTTTGAACCTTATAGTCATTTTAATATTTTGTACATTGCATATTTAACTATATAATATTTCGTACGTTGTACTTCAAACTATATATTGAATGAAAAGGAGAGAAACTTTTCCCTCTCAAGTATCAAAGCCTTAATAGAAAAAGACAGATCCCCATATTGAATTAAGCCTCTCAATATTTTCAATAAATAAACCACTTAGCAGAGTTACATCTAGGGAGTGAAGAAGGTGGCTTAAATTCTTTTCAAATCGCCGTTTTTCTTGAGCTGGCATTAAAACCTGCACATATGATTCTTCGGCTTACTTAAACATTTCCTAAACTCAAGATAATGAGAATATATTCCAATAATGATTACTACAATGGGTTAGTTTCCATGGGTCATTTTTAAGGCGGCTCTCATTTGTCCTGATGTATCAGAAGTTTTTGTCACTTGCAAGATCATCATCATCACTAGCATTATCCTAACTATTTGGGATTTTCTTAACATAATCCAACAGTTTCTCAACGCTGTGTCCTCGTCCATTAAAAAAACTAAAAAGAAGTTGCACTATATTCCTCATACCAGAACCCTACCAAGGTAAAGGACTCCACTCACAAGAAAAGCAATGAAGTCGCACTCCCCTACAAGCCCAAATTGATCTTCATTGAACTAGCTAACATATTTACAGAATATATCAGAAAAATGAAAATTCTCAAGCATAAATTCATTCTCAAGTTACTATCACAATGTTCATCAATTAGCCGATAATCAAGCGATAATACAAGCTAAAAAGAAATATGATCATATGCAATAGAACTCGAGTAATATTACCTGTTTCTCCAAGTTATTTCTAATAATTGGTGTAACCATTTCCTTGATCACACCGTTTCCATTCACCAGCTCCGCCTTCATTTTTCTCGACGGCGCTTTTCCAGCAATATCCTCCAAATCAACAACATCATCCTCCGCACCCTCAACATCCTCTTCCTCATCATCATACTCCACATCCTCTTCCAACACATCAACTTCATCTCTCTCCGCTACATCACCCAAGCTCATTTCACCCTTCATCAACTTCATGATTCCCTCACTCCACAGATCGAATTCCCTGTCAACCTCCCCTCCGTCCACATCCCCATCCCACAGCGGCATCATCTCCGCAGCACCAAGCTCCTTCATCCACCGCGCAAAGTCCCGCGCGGCAGCATTGAAGGTCGAGCCATACGATCGAGAACCGACCCCGAAGACTGCGAACTGGCAACTGGAGAGTATCAGCGATCCAACACGGAAGTCGGCGGCACTCTCGGCAAGCCATTGGGCGAGGAAGGCGGCGTTGGGCGGCGGTTTACCGTCTTCCCAGGAGGAGACTACAAAGAGCACGAACGTTTCCTTGGGCAGGTCTTCTGGCTCGTAATGTCGGGGGTCAACAAGGTTGGCCGCAAGACCGTGGGCAGAGAGGCGGGCGGCGAGCCTGCGAGCAAGGGACTCCGAAGTGCCGGTTTGCGAGGCGAAGAAGATTTTTGCGGTTAAGTTAGGTTTAGGGTTAGGGCTTGCGAACGAAAGGGTGGACAGGCGACGGCGGCGACGGAGCCAGTGGGATTTCCAGAGGCAGAAGACAGAGGAGGAGAAGAGAAGGGCCACGAGAGCGAATCGGGCTCCGAGAGAGCGAGTGGAGATGCTGATCATTTGGAATACTGTATCAACCCTCCGATCAAATGAGCTATGGGCGACGTGAGTCAATTGCTACGGTTAAGTAAATATATATATTTCATACTAACTATGACAGTAAAAGGTACTAAAAAATTTTCCCAAAAAAAAAAATACTAAAATCTGTATTTTAAAATAGGGATTTTCATTAATACCAATCAAAAATTGTTTTATTCTACATATTTAACATATAAATTTTAATCCTAAGTTATCACTACATCACAACTTTCTTTATAGATCTCATTGATGTGTTACCCTATTGAGCTTCATTGCAACTTCCTACATAAGTCCCATATTGTCTTGCTCTAGCAAGCTCTATCGTGATTTTCTCTTCCATATGTTGGTGTCGTCGATGCCTTGCCCTGTTGAGCTCAATAATGATAGGTATGTCACCCCTAGCAAGCTCTTAGCAATCAGGGGCGGATCCAGCTTCTTTTTTTAGGGTGGGCAAAAAAATTTTTTTTGTAGGAGATGGGCAAAAATGATTAGGATTGATAAAATTATGACAAAAAAAAATTTTGAGAGGGGGCAAAATGCCCAAAATACCCAAAATATTCCAAAAAATACCCTCTAAAATTAAAAAAAAATTTTTTTGAGGGTGGGCATTTGCCCCCCCTCACTTATATGGGGATCCACCCATGTTAGCAATCGTCACATTGCTCTAGCGAGCTCTATTATGACTTCGTCAAATGGGGAGAGATTATTACGTGCGGAGATCGGATAAAGAGAACCGCTCAGTTTTGACTTTGTGAATAGTAAAAGCGCAGTGTTGAACAGTAAGATTGCAGTCACGAACAGTAACTATATTTTTATTGTTCACATAGACAAAACTGAACGGTTCTCTATGTCTTATTTCTGGATGTAATAATTTCTCTCAAATGGGTGGTATGTAATGAAGGCAATAAGACCAACAACATTTGAAGATGACGACAATGATGGGACATGTTGCAAGATGGGATTTTGATGGCATTTAGTTGTAATTGATATTTTTGTTGATATTTAAATGTTGAGTGAGTAAATAATAAAGTTTATGTACTAAATATATAGATGAGAAATATTGCATATAAATTCATCTTTTAAACTTATGGACTATTGGAGATCATTTTAATATATTTTTAATTTGTTTTATTCATTTTTATAGTTTAATATGAAATAGAATGCTTTTAACATATTGAAACAATGATTTTTCTTTATTTACTTATGTGGCGGAAACCATCGTTATTGTCGATAGGTAGTAATGTTAAGTAAAGATTGGTGACGATTGCAACAACCGGTGATGATAGTTTTTTTTTCTAATATTTAAAGCATCTAAAATATATGTAATTAATGAATTTATATTGAAAAATAAAAAACATAGATAATTCTATTTGAATAATTTGCCCCTTTCATATATTATAGATATAATTTATTAGGCTTTATTTTTTTTATTGCTTGTACTTTTGAGAGAAATGTTTCTTTGTACTTTCTATTGCCTAATTTTTAATAATCACATATTCCATAAGAATGTACATATTTATCTGAATTATTATATAAATTACAGAAATATAAAAATAGATAATGTTATATGATTCTAATATTATACATATTTTATTATATTATTAAGGTTAAATATACAATAAATTATTTTCATAAGAAAATAGAGGATAATATTGCCATGAAATATTTAAAAAAAAAAAACATACTCATGAGAGTCCCATGAGATAAATATGCATAGCAATATAAAAGGTAAATTTAATTTTGTATGTTTCATAATACTCTAATCAGATAAAATCATCCGTTATATTTTTATTTGGAGAAATATGACAAACTTTCTATTAAACAAAATTATTCTTAATATGCAAATATCCCTACGAAGTATACTCCACTTGAAGAACTACCAAGTAGTTTAATTATGAATTAAATAGAAATGTAAAGTTCTTTTAATGTTAGACTAATGTTATAGAAAGGAAGAAAATAATTATATTCATGTTATAAGCAATAGATTCTCTTCATCAATCCTCAATGATATAGTTAGCTCCTAAATGATATTCATATGATGAAAAGATGTACGGCCTAGTGTCCTCCGATACCTACCATACACTTTCTAGTAGTGTGGTGAGATGACACAGTTTCCCGCATTTTCCCCTAAAAGAGGGAGACTGCCAAAATTTTACCTGAAGATGCACAAGACTTGGACAATTATAGAGGACTTTATTTGAACTCAAACGAATTGAATAGCGGGTTTGATTTGGACATTAAATGAACTAAATATGAATTCAAACTTAATTGAAATGAGTTTGCATTTGAACATCATTTGACTCAAGAGAACCATGACGTAAACATTTGAACTTGACTTAAATGAACTAAGCCTGGACTCGAACTTGAACTAGATTTAGACTCAAATCTGACATGAATTATAATGGGCCTAAGTTTAACTCATGAAATTTGAACCAAATAAATATTTATATGAAAATTGCGCTAAGCAATAACAAATCAGACGAACATCAAGAGATAAGTGAACTTGAATATGATCACAAGAGAATTGAACAACATGAATTATAAAGAACTTGGATGGAATACACAGGACTGGGCTTTGGATAAATGAGCAAATCAAAGTCTAAATGCACATTGTTTATCTAAGTGAATATCAAGTATTCAACTACCATGATGACATTCATCAATTAGCAATAATATGCAGTCTAGTTGCAAATGAAGGCATAAGGATATTCCAGTGAACCTTACAACTAGGGGTGTCAATATTGGACCCGACCCGAAAATCCGACCTGAGCTCACCCCAAAAATTTTGGGTTCGGGTTGACCCAAACCCGAAGCGGATTGGGTTCAGGTCCGGAAAACTGGCCCGTTTACAAAACCGGGTCGGGACCGGTTTGACTCGGAAACCCGACATGACCTAGAAAAACTCGTATGCCCTCCTACCCCGGCTGGTCGCGTGCATCAAGCAGTGCAGCCTGCCCGCCTGCCCCGCTGCCACGCATGACTGCGTTGTTCACAACTCAGCGTCTGCCCGAACTCGCGTGACCCGCTGCCCGCCTGCCCGAACGGGGGGACCAACGACTGCCTGAACGCGTGTGACCCGCGATCGTGTGGCCCATTCTGTCGAGTGTAGCTTGCCCCCATGCATGCTGTCGAACGCTGGTTGCTCGCTGCTGCTGCTGAATGGATTTGGCGAAATTTTTGAATGAAGGCATGAGATTTGGCTGAAACAGGTTGGTTCGGGTTGACCCGAACCCAACACGAACCCGAAACGGGTCTGGTTCGGGTCCAAAAAACTTACCCATTTCTAAAAATGGGTCGGGTTAGGGTTGACCCGATTAATGCCGGGTCAGTTTTGGGTTCGACCCAAACCCGACCTGTGACCTGAAATTGACACCCCTACTTACAACACATGTGCAAGATGAGTTACTCACAATTGAATACTCACAATTAAAGATGAAAATCAAGTAATCATCAACAAGAAGAAAGAATGATTAGTGAGCTCGAGCTTGAGCAATAATCAAGGAATCAAGCCTAAATGTTCAAATTAAGACAATAGTTTATATGAATTAAATATAAATGAATATAGAACTTATGGTGAATAGAATCCCTATATCTCACTCATAAGAGCAAGTGATATGAACTTGATGAGTTAGGATATTTGCAATGGGGATATTCATGAAAGATATACATATGATGTAGCGATGCCTCCACATCAATAATAATTCAACATACAAGCAAATACATTAGACCTCGAAGGCAATGAAGCTTATGAATACATCTATCTTGTACAACATAAGACATAAATACAGTGAATGTAGCAATGCTATGTGATCGACATCAAATATAATAAGGAATATAGCAAATGCAAAAACACTTACATGCTGTCGTAGTAGTTGTAGGAGGCTCGTTACAAGCACAACATACTGTCTATGACAAAACATAAAAAAGCTTCAGCAGATGCAAGCTTCTACGAGCCGCTGTAGAAGACCCGTAGTACACCAAATCTATTATTCACAAGCAAAATACAAAGTGAATATATCAAATGCAAGTGCCTATGAATCACTGTGAGAAACTCATCGCACATACAACAGACCATCAACAAGCATCTACAAATACAAAATAGGAGATTCGTTAGTGCACTACCATTTATCTACAGGAAGCGATAAGTAGTGCATGACAATTTACCTGTATGCAACGAGCAAGGGACCACAATATAATGTCATGTCATCAGATCCGTAACATCCCTACAAGCGGAATAAAATGTGTATATGAGAATCCAAATAGAACTATGCATTCAGTGCATATCACATAACTTCCCTGATATTACATCTATGGATGCTGTGCGGGTTCATAAATGAACGTAGTTCGAGCTTAATCCTTCTATGTGGATAGATAAGAGTCGACATGGCTCAAACTATCAAATAGATATACGGTAAGGGTATCAACCGAAATATCTATTTTATATGTTCATATAAGGCCTTCAAAGCCTATGACAAAAGAAATTCATTAAATAAAATAATACAACCAACGAACCTGATGCCATATTGGCAAATTGATAGGGTCATCAAGGTTTAGTCAATAAAAATGCCCGTACACCCCAATTATGGTCGTGTTAAATGCAGAATCTCAATCGGATGAGTTGCCAATTATGGTCGTGTTAAATGCAGAATCTCAATCGGATGAGTTGATTCCAAATATTTTAAATTCCACCCAAATATTCATAAAAATCCAAATTTCTTAAAATCCCAAAATCCAAAGATATTTAAAATTGAAATAATCCATCAAATAAAATCTATCTGCCCTCCGTAACAGTTTGTCGAAGTGGATAAATTGAAATTTACTTCAGTTCACATAGAGCTAATGCCTAGTCGAAAATATCACTAAGATCCATTCTAAAAAAAAATCTCATGTGAGTAAGAACGTGGTATATGTCCTCTGACCGATGATTTTGCTACCAAATAGCACCGCAAGATAAACAGTTATGACCCGAGGCCCTCTGAACCGAGTAGTTTTGCTGCCAAATGGCACCACTAAATACCGGTTA